TTGTTTATTAATAGAAGCACAAAGGAGTAAATATATAAACAAAAAAAAGAGAAGAAGCATCTGCACAAAAAGACAGAAGAAAGAAGTTAAATAATAATAAATAATAATAATAATAACAATAAATAATTAATAATAATAATGACAATAAATAATAATAATAATAATAACAATAATAACAAATAATAATAATAATAACAATAATAATAATAATAATAATAATAAAACAATTAAAAAGCAAAAGAATAAAGACAAAGATATAATATAAATCAAACAAAATAATTAACATGTAAATATTAACACCTCATAAATTCTTCTGTCTCCACATCTCTGCTCAGCGCCTTCTTATAAACCCGCTTAGGGCAGCCTGCATGCAGCAAAATAATTAAATAAACTTTTATTTATCAAACATTAAACAAATCTATATATATATATATCTACATATTATTTATTTATTAGGTGTTAATAAAAAAATAAACAAAGGAGGGAGACAAACATAAAAAAGAAAAGAAAAAAGACAGCCCCACATGTTATACTGTACGACAAACCCTAAACCCTAAACCCTAAACCCTAAACCCTAAACCCTAAACCCTAAGCCCTAAACCCTAATCCCTTAAAACACACCAGCGAAAGGGCACGGTATTGAGTCGGACTTTTTGCTGCAGATATCGCAACCCAAAACAACACCAAACCCTAAACCCTAAACCCTAAACCCTAAACCCTAAACCCTAGCAATTCCATTCCTAAACCCTAAACCCTAAACCCTAACTCGTACAAATCCTAAACCGTACAAACCCTATACCCTAAAACCCTACAAGCCCTAAACCCTAAAGCCTAGGCCCTGCAGGCCCAAACCCCTACCCCCAACAAACCCTAAACCCTAAGCCCTAAACCCTAAACCCTAATTTGAGGCGTACAGGAGGTGAAGAATTGCTTCTTGTTCAAAGACATGCAGACAAGCCGAAGATAATGTACTCCAACTGCAAACACAAAAAGATAAAGTAAAGACGAACAAACAAACAAAAAAATAGAAGAAGAGACAGAAGAGATCAAAGGAAATACTGCTGTTGCTGCTGCTGCTGCGGTAAATAGAGCTGCTGCTGCTGTTGCTGCTGCTACTATACTATATAAAGCTCCTGCTGCTACGTTATACAAAGCTGCTGCTGCTGTTGCTGCTGTTGCTGCTGCTGCTGCTGTTGTTGTTGTTGTTGCTGCTGCTGCTGCTGCTGTTGCTGCTGCTGCTGCTGCTGCTGCTGCAGTGTATGTACAGCACCGTTGTGAGACAGGGTGTTTGAATTCTTCTTGCGTTAAAGGGCATTTAAAAAAAACTAAGTCAGGCTCTGCAAGACGAGGTGTGGGGTCTGCTGCTGCTGCTGCTGCTGCTGCTGCTGCTGTTGGTTTATGCTGCGGTTTTGTTTGTTTTGCTTGCGTTGCTGCTGATTGTCTCCTTGCAGCAGCAGGAGTCGCAGAGACACTCAAAATTTCGCCTTCAGGTGTATCCGCAGCTTCTGCTTCTGAACCCGTCAGAAGTATCTGCTGCAGCAGCAGCAGCAACAGCAGCAGCAGCAACAGCATCAGAAGCAACAGGAGCAGCAGCAGCAGCAACAGCAGTAATAGCATCAGAAGCAACAAGAGCAGCAGCAGCAGCAACAGCAGCAACAGCAGTAATAGCATCAGAAGCAACAGGAACAGAAGCAGCGGCAATAGCAACAGCAGAAATAGCAGCAGCAGCAGCAGCAGCAATAGCAGCAGCAGCAGATGAATACTCCCCGCGAAGATGAAAGGAGACAGATAAAGAGACACAAAGAAAAAGAAGAGACAGACAGCAGACAAAACAAATAAAATAAGAGAACAAATAAATAAATAAATAAATAAATAAATAAATAAATAAATAAATCTAAAGAGGCAGCAGCAAACACACCTTAACAACATCTCCCAAGCGAGGGTTTAGCGGTTTGTCTGATAAAACTTTTTCTATACTTGCAGCAGCATCAAGCGACAACCCTACGATCTCTGCTTCTGCTGCTGCTGCCTCTGCTGCTGCTGCTGCTCCTGCTGCTGCTGCTGCTGCTGCTGATGCATCATCTGCAGAGACTTGCGAGGGGGCCTCTGAAGTGAACGAGTCAAAGCCGGAGGTGCTCGCTGCAGGCCCCAAACACATAAACTCTAAACCCTAGACCTTCTCTTGCATCTTCAGAGACGGTGGCTAAGGAGCCCTTCTCCCTCAAACCCCAAACGGCAAACGAAACCCTAAACCCTAAACCCTAAACCCTAAACCCTAAACCCTAAACCCTAAACCCTCAACCCTAAACCCTAAACCCTAAACCCTAAACCCTAAACCCTAAAACCTAAACCCTAAACCCTAAACCCTAAACCCTAAACCCTAAACCCTAAACCCTAAACCCTAAAAACCCTAAACCCTAAACCCTAAACCCTAAACCCTAAACCCTAAACCCTAAACCCTAAACCCTCACCTATGGCTGTTGCCTTGCGGCAGATAGAATGCAGCAAAGTCTGCAGCTCAGCGCCTACTCCTTTCAAACCCTTCAGCGCCTCCTCCACCTCCTGTACCAGCACCACAAACCCTAAACCCTAAACCCTAAACCCTAAGCCATAAACCCTAAACCCTAAACCCTAGAGAGGGAGGTTTCAAAGACTTACATCATCTGCAGAGCTCGACATACACCCGAAATTTAGTCGGGGCTTCAGAGTAGAGAAACAGCGGAGTTCAGGCGTATGCACACCTGGAGCCTAGGGTTTAGGGTTTAGGGTTTAGGGTTTAGGGTTTAGGGTTTAGGTGTTTTTAATAAAGATAAAGACATTGTCGCTCGCTGCTGCATGCGGGGGGCCCCCAACCAGCCCCAGGGTTTGGCGTTAGCAACACCTCCGCCTCTGGGGGGTGAAGGATCAACCCTAAACCCTAAACCCTAAACCCTAAACCCTAAACCCTAAACCCTATTTTTATATTTTTTAGTGTTTGGGGCTGTCTTTCACCGTTCTTCTGTCTTTGCATGCATAAAAGAGAGTTTGTTTGTTTGTTTAGCGTTTATATAATTGTTATATTTTTTATCATCTCCTTTTAATTATATATTTTTAATTATATTATCTCTTTATTATATTTACCTCCTCGTCTCTGCACCTATTCATTTTTGTCTTCTTCTTTTTAAAGGCGCCCGTTGCAGCAGCGGCAGCCGCTGCTGCTGCTGCTGCTGCTGCTGCTCCTGCAACTTCTGTTGCTGCTGTTGCTGCGGCGGGCGTTGGTGTTGTGTCGTAGGAGCAGCAGCAACAGCAGCAGCAGCTGCAGCAGCAGCAGCAGGGGTAGTTTGTGTTGTTGTTGCTGGCTTTGCTGTTTGCTGCTGCTGCGGATGGGGAAGCTGCCTATACACCCTAAACCCTAAAC